GCTCACCAAAGTGTTCTCTCAATAAATCCATTGATTGGCTCGATGTGTAGGAGTGACAACATCTTGTTGAAGCCAAACGTCGCCAAGATCACGAGCTTCAATTTCATGCTTCAAATAGCCGGTTACAATGGCGCGACGGTCGACATTGACTGTTACGTTCGCACCTGCATCATTTTTGGACAAAATGATTCCACCGGCCCACAAACCACACCAAACCTTTGTTTTTTCTCGATGAAGTGGCAGCTCTTGAATCTCTTCAAGTTGCTCTTCGTTCCAAATGCGGCAACTTTGCTTGTTCATACAATGTCCATACAATGTTCATGTATATCCATTGAGTCAGAAATGGGCCTCATCGCTGAACAAAATTTGGCTCGAAAACGTCCGATCTTCTTGGAACTTTTCTGGAGCCCATAGAGCGAAGCAATGTCACTTGGGAAGGTGGAGCGGTTTCAGTTCTTATCCGAGCTCTATTGTGTACGCTTTGATTTCAAGACATCGACATAAATTGCACTAAGTCGTTTCATACGTCAGTCCGAGTTGCTGCGAACGCTCCGAATCGACTCTCCACAGTCTTTGAAGAAGTACATCTGCTGCTACCTTAATGCCTGCCACTTCTGCTTGAAAGACACTGCAGTGGTCAGACAGTCTGAAACAAAACTCGATTGAAAGGTGCTGATAAAGCGCTCTCCCTTCCGCCTTCCCTTTGAGCTAAGATCCGCAGTGCTTGAAAATCTTCCTGTTGACATTTGAGAGATAACAGAAGGTCTCAACATCTCTTATAAGCAACTCAACATATTTTTCTTAACATTTGGTTAATATCTTGGTTAATAATATTTTAGTTAACATTTTTGGTAAATATAAACCGTGTCAATGCCAGTCAATTCAACGTCACATTCTAGCATGAAGCTTTAGATATAAAGATGCAGTTAGGCAAAAACTAAAAAGATTTATTAAAATAAATACGCATACGGCTATTGACAGATCCAATTTTCGAATCATTAAACATAACATTGAAAACATAAACGATTTATCAAAAAGCCCTTGTACCCATTAATATGTAAGTATGTAAACAGTGTTCAAGTTATTCGCATAACCCAGCATAATGAATATCGTTTGCTGTCGCTAATTAGAAAGTATAATACTAAAACGAATGTCATGCCTGACATATTTTGACTAATAACTCGCTGAGCATTTAATAACCGAAACTTTAAAAATCAACACCCAAATTAGTTATACCTACAAATATTATATAATATAATATACATATATACATTAGGGTGATTCAAAAAAAAAAATTTTTTTTCGTTTGGTACTCTGAAAAATAGGTTCCTAGACACCTCTAAGGAAGCCTCTCCAAGAATGAGTTCTTAATTGTTCTCCTACTTACAATTTTCTATTTTTTCTTGTTATCATGTAGAAAATGTTATATCTCGCTTCCAACTTGAAACAATATCTTGTTCCTTAGATTTTGTAGGAAATTATATGCTCTGCAAAAAAGATCTATACAATTTTTTCGTAAACCCAACCGTTTAAAAGATATTATATTAACAGTTAAAGTTTGACTATTTTTGGGAAAATTTTTTATTTCTTATGAATTTTATAAGTCAATAAACTAAATTATTATGAATGATGAAATTCATAGGTTTTTGGAGAGGCTTTCAGAGAGGTGTATGTGAAACTATTTTTCAGAGTACCAAACGAAAAAAATTTTATTTTCTTTTTTTTTTGCATTGATGTTTAACGATGAATATCTCATAAACGCTTAACTTAATCGAAAAATCATATGATACCATTTAAATAGAGCAGTAAATTTCCTACAAATATGAGTTTCATCATTCATAATGATTTTAGTTCATTAAGTTATAAAATTCATAGGAAATAAAAAATAATCTAACTTCAACCGTTAATATCTTTTAAACGGTTGGGTTTATGAAAAAATCGTACAGACCTTTTTGTAGATCATTCAATTTCCTATAAAATCTAAGGAACAAGATATTTTTTGAAGTAGTTGGATAAAGTTTTCTATATGATAACAAGAAAAAATAGAAAATTTGAAGTAGGAGGACCTTCCTGTTACAATTAAGAACTCATTCTAGGAGAGGCTTCCTTAGAGGTGTCTAGGAAAAAGTTTTTTTTTTTTTTTTTTTGTTGATCACCCTAATATACATACATATATGTATATGCTTTGTCAATAACTGAGCCACTAATAACTTTGTATGCTCTTTTGATTATGCTAAAAGTAGCTTTGACAAGTTTTGGATATCTTCCAAAGACACCACACCCGGGCTCGGTAATTGGATTTGCTCCTCGCTAATTTTATTGTAATGATACATTTGTGAATGATTATTAGTGTTAGTTGATCTGATATGTTGATGTGATTCTTAGCAAATGGACGTCAGCTGCCAAGGTGATGCTGAAAGGTTGTCAGGTGGGTTCAATCAAATGACTCTTGTTATCGATGCGTGTGTCACAGAATAAGGAAGAACGGAATCCGTATTTATATCCGCTCATCGATTATAACGCCCACAATATACCCATGATTTGAGTTATTTAATTATGCAAGGCTCTTGATCACGCTGATGTCATTTTAAAATACTAGACCTGCTTCTCATATTCGTCCTGATTCCTCTAAAGAGCATCTTGGCTTTAGAATTATGTAATGCATTTTTGAAACTTTTATAAATATTTTTGGAATATGCTGGTAAAGCATTAGTCGGTTGACCAAAAGTATGTCTATTTTGTTCGATATTTTTGTTGCATTGATTAATTTCTTTGCTATAGTTATCCGATCGAGCCTAATCCCTTTTGGTTCAACGGTAAATACAAGATTTCTAACAGGATTTTTAAAGTGAAGTGTTAAGTAGATTAACCTAAATACATATTTTTATCGATCTCTGATTGGCTGCGCTTTTTATGAACATTTTCATTCATCGCAGAATTGCTGTTATCTGCGATAAGTCGAATTAGCAACCCATCTTGAAATCTGGTTGAATAGAAAGCGAATTACGTGCAATTCGACAATCCGTTCCCACGACATTCGGGCTGAGGTAACCGCAGCGCAGGATAAGATAAAAAGTTTTATATAGTTAATATAACAACAAAAACTGCCCTAGAAAACTACAGATATACCAAATGCCGGCTCAGATGTCTTACAGTGTAAGAAAGGATTATAATATATAATCTAGTGGTAGCATACTCGTTTTAGTGGAAAATTATCTATAACGTTTAAAAAATGTTAGTAGACATCATTTACGCGATTATAGCCGAGTTAACTACAGAACGGCAGTCAGTGGAGGTCTTGTTTGCTTCCCCCGGCAAGTACTATTTTTCATCCATTCGAACAACATGACCTAGCCAGCATAGCCGCTGTATTTTAATTCACTGAGTCGCCTTGTCAGAAACCTCGTTTTGTATCGAACGACACGGAGAGGGCCTTCCCGATACTGATGAAGATTTTGTTATTGCTCAATCTACATCATACACATCCTTATTAGTTTTGGGGGGATACCAAATTCAGGCAATGCGGCAATGATAAAGGCCGTTCATTTTCGTGCTGTCAAAATCAGATTTGAAACCGACGAAGAGTGGGCGCATGGTGAATATTGGTGAGTTATTGATTTTCCAGGCCTAATGCCACACTGATAACGGTGGGCTTTCATCTTTCACACAATACGCTCTATAGAACCTTATATGCGATGTTGAAAAGACTTTTCCCACAGTAGTTGGCGCAGATTGTGAGGTTTATCAAAATCATTTTATTAAACAAGATATCCTCACGAAATTTGGCTTATCATCTAAAGTAGCGGAATAATTTCAGGATAAACTATATAGATCGGTTTCCTATAGCATATATGTAGCTGTCATTCAAGCTGACCGATAAAAATATGATAAAGATCTTTTTATACGGTGCAACCAAAGTTAACGTTTTTACTTGTCCCTGTTTTTATACTCTCGCAACAAAGTTGCTAAAGAGAGTATTATAGTTTTGTTCACATAACGGTTGTTTGTAAGTCCTAAAACTAAGAGTCAGATATAGGGTTATATATACCAAAGTGATCAGGGTGACGAGTAGAGTTGAAATCCGGATGTCTGTCTGTCCGTCCAAGCTGTAACTTGAGTAAAAATTGAGATATCATGATGAAACTTGGTACATGTATTTCTTGGCTGCATAAGAAAGTTAAGTTCGAAGATGGGCAAAATCGGCCCACTGCCACGCCCACAAATGGCGAAAACCTATAAAATGTCATAACTAAGCCGTAAATAAAGATATTAAAATAAAATTTGGCACAAAGGATCGCACTAGGGAGGGGCATATTTGGACGTAATTTTTTTTTGGAAAAGTGGGCGTGGCCCCGGCCCCTACTAACTTTTTTGTACATATCTCGAAAACTACTATAGCTATGTCAACCAAACTGTATAGAGTCGTTTCTTTTAGGCATTTCCATATACAGTTCAAAAATGGAAGAATTCAGAGAATAACCACGCCCACCTCCCATACAAAGGTTATATTGGAAATCACTAAAAGTGCGTTAACCGACTAACAAAAAATGTCAGAAACACTAAATTTTACGGAAGAATATCAGAAAGAAGCTGCACTCAGGCTTTCTTTAAAAATTGAAAATGGGCGTGGCGTCGCCCACTTATGGACCAAAAACCATATCTCAGGAAGTACTCAACCGATTTCAATGAAATTTGGTATATAATATTTTCTTAACACCGTGATGACATGTACCAAATATGGGTGAAATCGGTTCACAACCACGCCTGAAATCTCGATTATCACTTTATCATGCGAGAGTATAAAATGTTCGGTGACACCCGAACTTAGCCCTTCCTTACTTGTTTTTTTTTTTATTAAAGTGAGGAAGGAAGAAATAATCAGTATTCATTGGTTCACTATTATTTGATACAATGACTTGAATTTATTACTCCGTTTGTTTATTTATTTGTTTAACTGCATTTTATTTACCTTCATTTCATTGTCTTTCTTGCAGCTTACACATTTTCAACGCTCAATCACAACATAAAAGCTGCCAAAATGGGTTCCGATTGTGGCGTCTGGCTGGCCAAATATCTGCTATGCCTTTTCAACTTCCTCTTCTTTGTAAGTATGGAAACAAAATATTTATTGCAATTACTTACACATACATACACTCTGTTAAAATAGTATATATCTACTATTATATCTGTAACGTGGAAATTCATTAGCGCTACTCGGTATCCAAACAAATGCGCAAATAAAAGTGAAAACTTGTTTTGACTTTCCATTGTGACCACAAAATCGTATTTATTGCACTCGAAGGCGTCGGGTTCACTAAACCACAAAGTAAATATGCAAATCTAGCTTTGTACGCTTTTATACGGTTAAATACTCGTACTCGTTCATATTGAGTAAAAATGCACCAACAGTTTTAGAAATGAATGAATGACATTGCCATATATATAGGACACACCTGCACACAGACATTTTTGTACAAATATACTGTATACGAGGGTGGTTTGAAAAGTGAGTTAAATTAAACACTGTTTGTGAGTGAAAAGTGAGAGCTTTAACCTCATGCACTTTAACCGTAACTCACTGTTCGTAGAGCTCTGGTTTCGACTTATATTCAGATTACCGAATATATCTCAAGTACATGCAACAGTGCCTATAGATTAAATAAAAACTGTCAAACTGACCACTAATGGAGATTACCTTTAACACGAGTTCCTCCAAATCCAGCTTTCGCCAGACTTGAAACATATGAACAGTCAGACCTTGGTTCGCCGAAGAGCAAGGTGAAACTTATATTAGCCGTTTAAGAAATTTTTGGCAGATTCGAGACGTTTTGTCTGATCGATTAGGTGATCTGGATACGGACCCAGAGTGAGAATGAATATCAAAATAACTTATACTAAAGTATCATAAAAATAATTAAATTTCGAAAAAATTGGAGAAGACCCATGAAAGAAAGATCGACGAACACCTTATCTTCCTCAACTGGCTCTATACAGCTATGCCTGAACTTGGTAACTCCGCAAAACTAATACGGCTATGTAAACTGACATTAAGGAATACTAAAATCTACATCAGGATCGGGAGGGACCTCTTCGAGCCGTTCGATACCAAACAAGGTTTCAGGCGAGGCGACTCTCTCTCACCTGACTTCTTCAATCCACTCCTGATTCAAATACTTCGAGCTGAATAGTAAACAGCTGATAATATTGATATCACTGGGCTCAACAACTGCGCCGTTATATCTCCTGTCATCACACAAACAGTCATTGCATTCGCGACTAGGCTCCCTCGTCACTATTGATAGTCACAACTTCGAAGATAATTTCATCTATTGTGGAACAAGCATCAACACCAACAGCAACGTCAGCTTCGAATTCCAAAGCAAAACAAATCTTGCCAACAAATGCTACTTCGAACTGAGTAGGCAAATGAGAAGTAAAGTCCTCTCKMRACGAACAAAGAGCAAACTCTAAAAGTCACTCATCATCACCGTCCTGCTATATGGTGTAGAGGCATGGACGATAACAACATCTGTTGAGTCTGCGTTAGGAGTTTTCGAGATAGACGTTCAGTGGCAGATTTATGGTTCGGCGTTGGCAACGGCGAATATCGCACTCTATGGAAGGATGAGTGTACGAGATACTGGACGAAGTTGACATAGTTCAGCGAAATAATAGACAACGGCTATGTAGGCTCGGTCATGACGGCCGACTGGATGTAAACAATCCAGCTCTAGGAAGAGGAAAACCACCACTCCGGTGGAAAGAAGGTTATTATTATTTTTTTTTTTTTTTTTTTTTTTTTTTTTTTTTTTTTTTTTTTTTTTTTTTTTTTTTTTTTTTTTTTTTTTTTTTTTTTTTTTTGTTATATATAGTTTAAAGGGTCTCTGACGTTTCCTTCTGGGTGCTACAGGATTTGTGGCTGTTCAGGGCATAAAAATCACAACATTACATTCAAAGACTAAGAAGTTCTTGAGTAATCCTGAAAAATTCAATTTCCCACGATTAATTCCCCGCACACCTCTTCTATCTTACCAAACATAAATTGTGGATCGAAAGGAATAAACAATTATTACTTAGGTGAACGAGTGCTGTTAGGTTAAAAATATGAAAACCCATCATTCATCAAACTGCCCTCGTCTAACAACGTTAAATGTAATTTTAAACTGAAATTGATATTTCATTCACATAAAGGCATAGTCAACTTTTGTGCTTGGCATATTTACATTTCGCCTGCATCACATCCGCGTTGGTGCATATGTTTTGAAACTAAAATTCACACTTTCTTCCATTTGTTTGCATAACCTTTTTCCATTACAATATTATTTTTGATATTTTGTTTCCAAATGTATATATAAAAATGTGTTTATTTATTTATTTTGGTATTTATTTAACCACAGGTCGTTGGCACAATCGTGCTGGGCACTGGCATTTGGCTGGCGGTCGACAAAGCCTCGCTAATTGCATTGCTCAAGATGGTGGAAAGCGATCAAATAACCGTAAGTACCGTTACATTAATTTTAATAGCACGATTTGTATACATATGTACGCACATGCATATATACTGCACACATTATTTATTTAATTACATATTCATATAAATAAAAATATCCAATTATTTACAACGAAACACCCTGTGATTATAGAGAAGTGCGCCAACACCAGCATAAACACCTCAGTTATTATGATTTTATTTTCACCGTTTTGTAACGGTCACTTTTGTTTATTTTCTTGAGCTAGTGTTGCATGTTGCACAATAATCCATATTGCATCCCTCGAAGAAAAAGGAAACCCCTGCAATTAGCTTTGCCTACTAAAATATTAAAAATAGCTTTTATTGACTTTGGACATTCGGCTCGTTGTCGGCTTGTTCATAGACGCTTCTTTGTCTCGGTCTGTGCACCTGTCTGCCGCCTGTGCATGTAACTGTCGCCTTATCAAGATTTGATGGCTCGCAATTATGGGCGCCACGTCCTTTGCTATCAAAAGGATAGCCAGCGGTGAATTATATACGTACATACGTACATACATACATATATACAATATTTGATTTGTTTGGCATTTGCGTGTTTATTTTGTGCCCGCCGCATTGATATTTATTATCTAAAACTCATAAAATATGCTCTATCCTTTCCTTTGCCTCAAAAGCTAAGGAAGAAATAAAAATAAAATTCTTCCGGCGATTTTACGCCATCGAATATTTGATTACGACATGAATTGTTACAGAGAGAGAATTTATTTTTGGTCTTGCTAAGTTGCTAACTCGATCCAATAAGTTTTTATATTATATTCTTCATAGAGGACATTAATTCCACTTGTGAATTTCAAAAAATCAATACGAAAGTACAAAACGTCACCAGAAATGCGAAATAACTTATCATCAAAAAAATTTAAATTGATTTTTTTATTGCACACGATTCACTATCTACATAATATTATATATGAAACAAAATTTCAAGCTTCCGCCCTCTTATATAATCAAAATATAACACGAAATATAGATATGAATGGAGAACATTTTTCCTAATATTTGGCAAATAGTTTCGGCGATAAGGGCGTATTTTTATAGAATTTTTAAATTTGTTGCAATTGGCTATCGAAACTTTAAACGCATTTTTCTTGAAACACAGTTACCAGAAGCGGTGACGAATACTACTCTGAAGCGGCAGACCCCAGCGAGTTAAAGTACGACCTTCTTATTGTCGTGAGGAAGAGTTTTCCATCTGCGGCGCTTGGTTTTTCTGATTTCTTGAAAGACAACTGACAACCAAATTGTTGTGTCCGACTGAGAATTTACTGATGATTACGCTATCGTATTTGTTTGACATTTCCCTCGACCAATCGACACGAGCCTTTTTTTGAGCTATCGACAAATTGGGTGGGATTCAACGTAAGCGAATTTTTGTTGCAAATGTTGTAGCCATATTGACTGTAAACTGATCCCACTAATGCATATACTTGTAGTTGTCTCAATCTCACCATAGGTCACATGACGATCTTACAATAACGATTTTCTAGCAACAACAATAGTTTCCGGAACAAAAACTGATTTTAGACGACCTTCACGATGCGTCTTGATGTACGACCTCGATTGGATTCACCATGCCACTGGTCCTTGATGGAAGTTCATCGCCAAAATTTGAATTAAGTTCGGGATTAATTTACAACGAAAGTTATAAAAAATAATCGCCTTAAAATGTTCGCAATTCAATTCCATTTCTTGACCCAGATGAATATTTTAAGTTACTGTAAACAATACAAATAACACTCCTATGTTGAGACATTCTGAGTATGGAATTAAGAATATAAACAAATATAGTACACTTTCGAAAAAATGAAAATAACCCATTCCTTCGTCATAAGGGAATAAGCAGCCAAAGATATGCCCATCGTATGCTGTCTAAAAAGTTACGAATGTGTGGAAAATGCACGAGGTCCAAAATATTATTCCTTTGTGGATACCTCTTATAATGGAAGATATAACATATAGTTCCATATGAACCCCACTTTAACAGGAAAGTTCCTTAGCCTCCCTTGGATAATAACCAAACCAGAGGGATGCACACTAAGCTGTTGCTCTGTTATAATATTCAAAAGAGAGAGGATTTTTTAGAGAGGATTTCAGTGAAAATACGTTTTCAAAAGTGAAGAGTTTTAAGTGCACAAACTCTGCTGATGAATGTGCCCTGAAAACTGTAAAAAGTCGTTCAATTCAAAAACACACAAACTGCAAATTTAATGGGGAATATTTAGTACCATTCGAAAGAACATTCCTTGGCATTTATTTTTTGAAGATTATCTCTTTCAAATGTTGGTCGCGACTATCCATCCCTTGAGACCAATTTTCGATGACTCGTTCTAGCATTTCGACTGATAACTGTAGAATGACACGCGTGGAGTTCAGGCCTTGGAATCAAGTGGGATTGTCTGCATGGACTTAGACTTAAGTTGATCAAAGTCAATTCTCTTTTTTTTACAGTGTATTTTCTTTGCCCTGCAAACATTTTCATGGTGCTTTTATCGCAATACAAATGTCTAAATGTGTCATTCATAATGCTCCAAATATTAAAAAATGGATTCCCCATTGAATGACATAAGAGATCCAATGGTGGTGGTTTTGACCTAATTACACACAATTTGAGAAACATAGAAAAGTACTTTATTGCAACATAGCATGTATATATTTTTATATAACAACTTAACTTAAATTCAAATGGAATGTAAATTCAGGAAACATATGAACAAGGAAATCTTGTCGACAAATCGAATTGGGTTGGGCCAGCTAAGACACACTCACACATCCATCCAAATATACACTCAATAAGCTGTAGTGGCCGCACAATGCTGAAATATTTATAACTTTCACCAAAAACCTCGGCAGCAACATCACTACTGACCACACTCTTAACGATTAGCATACGTACGCACCCTTTGGCGCCCAGCCTTTGGACACTTTCCACACGAACGGTGAGTGAGTGGTGAACGTCGTGCAGGCAAATTACTGTTGTAAAATGCTTAGTGTTACGAGTATGTGCCTCTGTATCTATTTTAATGATGTCGAAGAGAAGTGAAAATATGCACATACTATAATGGTTCGGTTTAAAATGTTCGTTAAATACGAAATCGCACATAAATGTAAGTATATTTCGGTATGCAGTCAAGTTGACCGCCTGTGTTGCAGGTCCATTTGGCATAATGTCCACCAACAATACTAATTTCAATTTACCTGCATGTGAGCAATCGGTAAAGTGCACTAATTGTTGGCAACACCATTCGTGGGTGAAAAGTTAAAACACAATCAAGAAGTTCGGTCAATGAACTTTAAAAGCACAAAACTCGCTGTGATCGCAGGCAAACGATTGCATATACTTTGATACTTATCTACACACACTATGTAATTATTTCTGCAGTTTATACAAAATAAATGCACATTCCTGTGTTAGAGACGAAAAGGGCGCTTGAAAAAATGTATTTTTAGTTTCTTTTTTAATGGTCTTTAGTGATGTTTTACTTTATTTTTTATTTTAATTTGTTTATTACTTTTCTGGGTGCGAAATATGCATATTTCTGTGTAATTTGCTGTGACATGCTTTTCAAATGAGTGTAGAGTGTTGCAGGCCTTCGTTAAATTTGCTTTAAAATCTGCCTTAATGCAGTACTTAATGCCGTCTATAAAATGGCAAAATACTTGCAATTGGCAGTCTGTATACTTTTTGTATAATATTATACTTATAGTCGACCATTTTTACCTGTTTTGATATTTTTTTGGTCAAAACAAACTATCTGAACCACAAATTTGATAAACAGTTAAGTTGGAATGCCGAAAAAAGCTAATGTCCAAAAATTTTTTCTGAGAAAACTTTTAAATATCTGAACCACAAATTTGTATGCATATTATGCTATCTTTTAACTGTGTTTTAAGGCTTAGTATTAGTAAAAATATTAATTTTGAAATTGTTGGAAACTAAAGTTGATCTTCGAGAACTCCTCTCAAAAACAAAAACAAAAAAACGTTTTGTGGGGACCACTATATCTCTGAACTGGAGCCTCTGAACAGATTTCGTTACAGTTATGTTAAATGCAGTAATTAATCGAAGGAAGAACAAAATAAAATTTTTTACAAAATGGCTGTTTCTGAAAAAAAAAAATCAACTTTTAACCAAAATTTCGACCTTAAACTGTTTATTAAAAAATATATATCGTTGACAAAAATCTTCGGTTAGTTACTAAAAAATATATTTAAGAAGCTCGTGTTAACTAATCGGTCCGTGAGACTAATCGGTTTAGCCGCTTTCGAATAATGTTGATCACCGACTTTGAAAACACCATTTTGAGAAAAACGCGTTTAAAGTTTGGAATACTCTTCCAAGCACTTTGAAACCTCCCTTAATAACGCAAAACAAGGAAAAACGTTAACTTCAGCTGCACCGAAGATTTAACATCCTTCGCCTTCCTAATATACACATGTTAATATATAAAAATAATAAATAATAAATATTTAAAAATTAGTTTTCATGTTATAAGATATTTATAATATTTCGAAAATCTCGAAGCTTCTGCTGAGTCTCTATCGATGTGTTTCAGTTAGAGTTTTCCAAATGAGACACCATTTATCTGCTATTGGCCAAATTGGCCCTTTCTAGGTGATCGTTTCCTTCAGATCTGACAATTAGTTCAGTCAGTGTTAGTACAGGTCCAAATTAAGAATTTGGCCTTGGAGGAGCATCTTATGGCAGAAGATTTCTTGCCAATCCCATTAAACACTGTCATAAGTGTTCCACTTTCCGTCACGAATATCATCCGTTTCAGGAATAGATCGATGAATTTGCAATTTAGCACAGTTTTGTGGCTAAGAATTTCGGTTCATGAGCTTTTTTTACGTTAACTCGTGTGGCATCCACATATGGAGATTTTTTTGGTTCCAACCTTATTTAAATGTTTGCCTCGACAATTTTCATTATTTTATCGATATTTACGACAATTACCCGAAGACGAGTCAACGAAACCAATATTGTGCTTGATTATAAATAATAATAATAAAATATTTACATCCGTCTGAATAGCATTTTCAACATGCTCAAAAAATAGTGGGCCAAGTAATCACCAAATTCTCCGAGAAGTTTTTATACTCGGTAGCACTTATTTTATACAATGCGAGATACAGATTATAAATATCTATTGGAAAAAAATAATTGATTTATTTTTACTAGATCTCGTTAGGTTAGGTTTCTCGCTGATTCTCGCGCCAAAACGTATGCAGAATTCTACTTTTACAGCTGTTCCTAGAATTCCAGGATATGGATAGATCGACGACGGTCACATTCATTTTCGCCGAAAGTGTGTCTACCGAAATGTTTCAGCGTCAGTCTGGCAAAACCTGAATAGTTGAGAAAAAAGTATCTAAATGATTCCATCTCACACCTTTCATACAGCTTTTTCGATTTGTGTCCGATTAGAGGAGCAACTTCACCTTATATGAGCCAATTGGACAAAGAGGCTGTTTTAACGATTAATTAGAAATTATTGTCACAATTCTCTGTCTTCTTCACAACTCTTCTATGATGGTGTCTAGTACTCTTTAATGAATACATAGAACTTTATTGAAAATTTTATTTATTTCTCGTAAATTACTTCGTTTGAATTAGGAAATTTTTTTGCAAACGCCATTTATGAAAAGTGTCATCTTTTGACTTAAGAACTAAATTATATATTTATTTAGTAGTTGTAGATACGTATATATACTGAAATGAAATACCATTTCTTCCTTTCACGTCTCTGAAATAGGTATTAGTGTTGCGACGAAGAAAAGTAAGAAAAATAAGTAAGGAAGGGCTAAGTTCGGGTGTCACCGAATATTTTATACTCTCGCATCAAATACCGTATTTGTGTAAAGTTTCAGCCTGAGTGCAGCTTCTTTCTGATATTTCTTCTGTAAAATTTAGTGTTTCTGACGTTTCTTGTTAGTCGGTTAACGCACTTTTAGTGATTTTCAATATAACCTTTGTATGGGAGGTGGGCGTGGTTATTATCCGATTTCTTCTCTCTAGAGTTTGGTTGACATAGCTGTAGCAGTTTCCGAGATATGTACAAAAAACTTAGTAGGGGACGTTGCCACGCCCACTTTTCCAAAAAAATTACGTTCAAATATCCCCCTCCCTAGTGCGACAGACAGACATCCGGATTTCAACTCTACTCGTCACCCTGATCACTTTGGTATATATAACCCTATATCTGACTCTTTTAGTTTTAGGACTTACAAATAACCGTTATGTGAACAAAACTATAATACTCCCTTTAGCAACTTTGTTGCGAGAATATAACAAGAACCACGAACTAATTATATGCCTAGAGGATTCAAAAAACTAAAGCAGCAGTCGAAATTTCAAGTTTTTGTTTCTCATATTTCCATTAAGTGGTACGTGGTTCTCAGTTTTTTTGTGCCACACAAGCTTTACATACCTCAATCACATTAAAGTTTCTACGCTCACGTACCGAGTGGCTTTCATTTTCATTTGTGTATTTAATTACTACTTCATAAATTTTAATAGCACTTTATGGTTTCTGGTATTTATTCCACTATTCTACTATTTTTTGTACAACTTGAAGGTAAAAAAAACTACATTTTCAATTGTTTTGTTTTATTTCCAAAAATTTACATTAAATTATGAAATATTTTTTATGCGTTTTCTTTCGTTGCAGCAATTCACACAGCCGCGTGTCATCGAGCAGATGGCGTACGTTTTGATTGCTATCGGCGCCGTTATGTTCTTCATGAGCTTCCTCGGCTATTGTGGCGCGATACGTGAGTCGCGTTGCCTGCTGACAACGGTAAGTGGTAGATGGCAGGTTTTATTTCTAAGAAATTTACCAAATACAAAGCAAAAGATTGAAGAAGTGTGAAGTGTAATTAATTTCACTTTCATAAATATTTTTAAGAATCAAAGTGAAAGTACAATGACTGGAAAGGTGATGTGGATAGCCGGATAGATGAAAGAATTAGTAAATGTGCTTTTGAAATGAACACAATGAGGTAGAAGGAGACATGTACTAACAGTAGGTTATATTAATAGGTATACTTTGCCTTTTGAAAGCACAAAAATGCACTCCGCTTAGGGCCGGACAGTGTCTTCAATATATTGTATACATATCAAATGGTCTTCATGATGTATTCCCTTCCACACCCAAAACTCAAACCAATACTGAATGAAATAATGTGAGAATTTATTCATGACGGTCTGATATCATCCCACAAATTCAATCCAAAAATCAAATAATGTGCCCTTATGAAAAGCAGTTATTGCTAAAAAACACAAAAATTAATATTAAATTTGATAAACACAATAAGAGTGAAAAAAGAAAGCTTTGGTTTGAAACATTTTGAGAAATGGGCGTGGCTTGCGAAAGCGGTAACTGAGTGACATTGGACAACTTGTGCTTCATTACTACTCACACGGCCGCGCTTATTGCTAAAATACAGAGGATTCACAAAATCCTCTAGTCGGGAACACATGCGGAAAAGGTCCTTAACTACTACTTATAGTCGCCTGTATACAGTGAAAGGCAGACAAGGGAGCTACAAATATGTCAGAACACTGCACTCCGGACTACAACAGGATGCCTCAAAATATCTCCTATGGAACACCTGCACAGTGAGTCCCAACTGCTCCAGTTAACGATTATATATTAATTCAGACATGCACTGACCGCAATTCATAGTGGAGCCATTAACACCTTCTTTGACTCCTTCTCACTGAATGGCGTACTTGGAGTCAAACCACTAACCCGTTGCAGATGAAGAGCTCGAGTTGCGGCGAGAATCGAGAGTGACCCTTGCGCAGCTTCGTTCTTAATACTGTAACAGGTTAAACTCCTACTTATTCAGAATCGATCCTTACATATCAAACCTAAGTCCATGCACCAACCACCTCTTTGCCTGCCCTGCTAACCCCACATATCTGACATCCCCCTGCCTATGGTCCGATTTTCCGAAACATAACGTTTCCTGGGTCTACGTTGGATGATCTCGATGACAACTTATTCCATCTATACCATTCCAACGGTGATTAAGAACACATTACAACAATAACAACATCGTACTACACCACCTTAAACGGCACCGGACTCTATCCTACTTACACTCTCTAACAATTACCAATTACTTAAATGATCCCAGTCCAGCTATATATGTATTTCGAAGTCCCAGTTACAGAATATCAGACCTTCTGAGTCTATTACTAATTTATACAAAAATATTGATAGATTGACTAGACATGGGCAACTTTTTCTAAAACTAATATGTTTACAAATATATAAAATAGCTTCAATACTTTGTTTAAAATTGGCTATGCCCTGAACTATTTATATTAAGTTTCCCACGAATTGCCAACGTGATGAACTAACTCGGTTTAGCAATACCCGACTATCTGTTCTAGGTATATCTGATTATTTTCGTATTAGCCCTTCAGTTTGTCAGATGTCGATCCAAGAAGACATTGCTCATTAGGATGTTATCCAATGTTATTGTATAATTTGTTGTGTTTTGCTTGTTAGTCGTGCTGGTACGATAATGCTGTAATTGGCAATTTATGATACCAGCCAGCATAATGATCAATCAGCCCACCCGACAAGCGAGTCATCATCCCAAGCTTTGAATGTAAAAAAGTTACTGAGTAGCAGCCATGGAATCCAGTAATTACAATGCAATGCAGGGAAGATTTCAATGCACGCGACTGTAGACAAAGTAAATTAAAAATTTAAAAGAGAAAATGATGAAATTTCAAAACCAAACCAAAAGAAAGAAATCATGAAACATGAAAAACGAATTTGCAGGCGATTGTCAGGGTTTTTGGTTAAAGCGCAGTGGCGCATGCGCAATGTACTTGTACCTACAATGACAGCCGTTTGTATGTAATAGCGTTAGACGGTTGAATGCAGCGCACGTTGACAAGTCTGCACCTTGAAAATTTGAAAAATTCACTTTCAATGACAACGGCAAACTATCTAACTATGTGTGTGTATGTATGTTTCAAATTGTCGAAATGGTAAAAAATCAAAAAAAAAAAAAAAAAATGTCACAAAACCTCGGGGAAATTATAATCGGCGGTATGTGAGACAACTGAATAATATTGCACAATAAAGCGCCAGAAAAACAAAAAAAAAAAACATAGATGAGATCAGCCGAGACCCAAGCTTGGTAGGCGCAGTATAAGCTAAAATAATGCTTTGCGTTTTTAAGGCTTTAATTTAGGGTGCACCGCTAGACACGATTCGTGGCCTAATGCATGACGGCACGATTAACACTTTCTTTTATTTTTCTGGTGTCACTGGTAAAATTTTTCATGTTTTCACGTCGTCACGGGACGGAGAAAGTCTTTTATTTATAGAAAATTTGTTATCTCGTTTTTTACGAAGAAGAATGTAAACGTTTTCCTTTATGACATTTATCAAAAATATAAGTTGAGTTGTCGAGTACCTAAATTTTCAGGGATCCCGACATGTATAGTAGATAATATTTTCCCGATTAAAAAATTTGTCTACTTCCGTTCCGATTTTTTCTCTTCACTCTTGATTTGTACAAGAAACATGTGCAGTAAAAAATATCTTTGGGGATCCCGGATAAACAATTTTTTTTTTTATTCCGTTCTGAAATTTTTCGGGATCCCGTTGTTTTTTCTTAAACACATTTGTGATTTGTAGAGCAAACATGTAGAGTAAATAATTTTTTTCGGGATCCCTAATATAAAAATTTTTCTAAGATAAAAACTTTTTTGGGATCCCTTTTTTTCTTAAACACTCTTGATTTGTAGCAAATTTTTTTGGGGATTTCAAATACCAAATGTATCTAGTATTGTTCCAAAATGTTTCGGGATCAGGTATTTTTTTTCTTAGACACTTTTGATTTGTACTGCAAACATCTCCAGTATATATTCTCTTTCGGGATCCCGAATATAAAGTCTAGTTCCGTTCTGGAATTGTTCGGGATCCTGCCATTTATTTATTTATGTTTTTTTTTTTTTTTGCAAAAATTTATTTACTACTCACACATTTTCCTTATATACTTTTTACTCTTTTAACATATAAGATGAAGTAGAAAATTTTTTCGGGTTCCTGAAAACCAAATTTGCATAGTGTCGTTACAAAAATTTTCGGGATCTAGAAAATACTTTCTTTTATTTAATAGAGTTTTTTTATTTTTTTTTAATAGTATTATATTCACCCCGCATGTTGGTTAGATGCATATTAGACAGTCCAAATGTACATAATTTACCTATTTCCCAACAGGAACATAAAACCTATCTGTTCCGAATAATTTCGAAATCCCAAACACAGGTTAATAAATAAATTTATGTAAAACTTAAAAAAAAAATTTATTAATTTTTACTTTTAACAACGCGGATTTTAAAATTCGGAATCCCGAATATTAATATATTTGCTAAATTAAACATTTTAAACATTGATTGATTAGGGTCTTGATAATATAAGTAAAAGTCATAAATAAGGGTTGTAGAAGAATAACTCAGGTGATGGTTTTTCAGCAATCTTTTTCTGGGAGAAATATTTAGGTCTCTTTGGACTTGCTTGATCGTGCGAATTCCGATCCTTCATTCATGAAAAGCTTTATAACTACCGATAAGACATGGGTTTATGAGTTTGACATGCCAACAAGTCAAAAATTTTTGGAATGGAACCTGTTTTCAGTCGGTCGTAAAGATAAAACAAAACTCGCTGAAGGAGCTGAAGGCCAGCTCAACAAATGCTTATGACAAGTATTTCGTGGACCCTCAAATTTGTTGTTTGTCACAATGTAAATGGGAATAATGTTTCTTAAAATGCAGATTCAGCAATCATAGCTTATATATATATATGGACCATATCTAGAATATAGTGCTTATTAAAAACTCGGCTGACAGCATTTATCAACACTGTCTGAGACCTGTCTCTTATACACATCTAGATGTGTATAAGAGACAGGTTTCTTAAAATGCAGATTCAGCAATCATAGCTTATATATATATATGGACCATATCTAGAATATAGTGCTTATTAAAAACTCGGCTGACAGCATTTATCAACACTGTCTGAGACAAAGCCTGAAACAACTTGACTATTTCTCGATTTAGAACAACAACAACTTGATGTTAAAGATTTCACATTCGATGATTCAAGTAAATTTTGTAAGTAATGTGGTTGCTCGACCACCCTCGGCTCATAAAAACAAGCAAATGCCGCTGAAGTAACAAGTTCAACACTACCGCGCCACCAAGTCACGTGCTCTCGTAAATCAGTACATGTCACCCACAAAGGTGTTCCATAACTGCACAAGCAAGCTATCATTTATGTTGAAAAGCAAACAACAAGAAGCAATAACAGCAGTGAGTGAGGAGCGCATATAAAGCTCAGGCAAAGCTTGGCGGCGGCTAGTTGGCGTGATGATAGTGTTTCTGCATTTATTGCACGTAACTTCATTGTTGTTGTTGCTGCTATTGCGCTGCCATTTCGTAACGAATGCACTCAAGTGTGATGTGTAGCGGTGTAATGTGATTTTGAGGTTAGGCCACAGAAATATAATTTCCATAGAAAAAATTGCCATTTATTGCACCTCACTTGTTGCTACCACACACGGATTTTTTTGTTGCTGTTGCTGCGGTGATTGGCGTAAAGGCTCGAATTCAGTCGTCTGTCGCAATTTTATTTACATTATTTGTTATGATTTATTGTTGTCGTTGTCGTTGTTGTTGTTGTTGTTGTTGCTCTTCACTACAAACAATTATAAGGTAATTGGTTTTGTTGTTGTTAGGCCTTTATTATCAGCGATAATCATGCTTTCG